AAAGTGATCTTCTGGCCATAATCTTCAATTTCCATTGAAAAAACGGAGGCCAACCTCTTCCAGAGAGTTACCAGGCGGCGATTTCGGTCGGATTTTGCACTGTTTTCTATGGGTACGTGTATGGTGAAGTGCAACCTGTAAAGACAAGATGGCAACAGACTAAAAGGGGGTGCTCTGTCCTTCTTCTTGGTTTTTTTATTTAAGGGCGGAGAAAATTAGCAGTTTTGTCTTTGGAAGTTTTCAAAACAGTACAGATTGCAGCCAATATCAGAGGAATGTACACCGTGTCTCTTTGGAGGGGTCTATTGACCATTTTGTCCTATCAAACTGCACAAGGGCCTGAACTTCCCACATATTTTTTCTTCCAAAAAAGCTCCCACGGGACGCCAGGGAAATGGAGATTAGAAAGTTCAAATTAAAAATTCCGGTTGTTCATCCTCTTTATTATAGTTTTTCCTCTCTTTTTTTCCACAAGATGTTTTATTTTTCCATTTGTTTCCTTAAATAAAATTGTCATCTCGCGCACAAAAAACTGCCACATTCAGTGGCAATGGACCTGTATTATCCTTCAATTTCCGGAAAACATGAAAGTGTATTAAATTTTTGGGATTCGTTTCTTTATTTTGTGTAATTTTTTTTCGTTTTGAGTCATTTTTACTGCGTAACCGGCCCTGGAGGTGATATTAAATTGTGCATTCCTCCAAATGGCGGTATTTCTGCTCGTAAGGTCATTAATATTTTGTGATCACACGGGGTTTTTACAATACGACATGCCATAATCAGGAAGATCATAGAAATATTTCTGTAAATCCTGAAATTGGGACTGATAGTTTCCAATTAGAGTATTTTCTTCACAAAAAGCAGCGAATTGCAGGCCTATTTTGGGTAGAGGCCGGCAGCTTCGTTCAGAGCTGAACAGATTTTACTATTGTTTTAGGGTATCTTTGGGGAAAGGCAAATAAAAAAATCGTGGCTAACCGCCATAGATTGAAACGAAAAATGATCTTCTGGCCATAATCTTGAATTTCAAGTGAAAAACAAAAACAAACAAAAACAAAAACGGAAGCAAACCTCTTTAAGAGAATCACCAGCCGGTGATATTTCGGTCTGATTTCGTACTGTTTTCTATGGGCGGGTATTAGACGTACAGTCCACTAATTCAAGCCCAATGAAAACAGTATAAAATCAGCATAGTTCAGATCTCAATAACACGCATATACACATACCAACATCCCTGAGATTCAGAAATACTAACGAAATAATTGTCTGGTCCCTAATGTCTAATTTCTTTTCCATTTTTTGTCGGTTAAATAATTACATTTTTAATTATTCCCACCAAACGAAATCACCCCCCGAAAAGTGATTTTCGGAAGTCCGACTGCAGTCATTTTTCAAGTTTTACCCCTCAACGTTCTCGGGCATCATTATGTAGGCCTACTAGGACCATATTTCAACCGTAGTTTTTAGCCATTCTGCTCTCAAAGCTCAAAGACCCAGGGAGTTGATCCTGGCAACAATTTACACAATCTCACCATTTTTGGGGGGTCAAACAATCTCCTTTTTCAAAAGATACTGCGGGGCCACTTTTAATGCTGATGAGCTGTTCAGAAATTCTCACTTGAATTAGTGGACTGCACCCTTAGGTGCAGTGCTACCAGAAACGAAGACGTCAGAGAGATCCCGACTTGATTCAAGTCTAGCCCACGTGTAAAATGTTCAACGAATCATGCGTTTTGCCGAAGCCAGACTATCTGCCTCGGGAGTAGTGCTACAAAGAGTCCAGGTACTACACTGGGGATATGGCGTGATTTTTGGATTTTAATTGCTGACGAAAGGCCCGCTACAGACAGTCAGTCAATGGCTCCCCGTCTTTTAGGGAACAGGTAGGTATTTCGTTTTTAATTTGGAGCTAATCATTCGGCTATACTTATTCAAGTAAAAAGAAATTCCAAAGGTATGGGGTAATGGTGATGGGTGTGGAGTTGCTTTTAATTTATTGGCATGAGTCCCCAAGCCCTTTTTGCACAAGAGTCATGTTGTTCAGTTGACTTGCATGACTTGCGGGCCTTGAGGTTCTTCTTTATAATTTGCACTTTTGTGCCACAAAGTCTGTCAGTACGTGACTGGTTAGCCCAAATTCATGCACTTTGATATAGTCTGCACTGGCCAACCCCTTAAGTAAGAGTTTTCGATGGAGCTCGAAGTAGTTTATTGTGCAAATTATGCAAATTTGGATATGCTCCACTGATTCAGATGGGGAGTGCAGTGTGTATGTATGTATGTATGTATTAGAGGGCAGACACACCCAAGCTTTCTGTGTGAATAGACATGCATGCACATACTGTGTGTGACAGCTAATGCTTATAAAATACAGTGCATTTCAAATGTATATCTTCCAAGAATGATACATGTAGTTGCCAGTTGGAAAACTGGCTACCCGATAGGGCCAGCATAGTGGTAGCCACTTGGCCCCGCCCACAGGGAATACTGCCTGTTGGGCCATCGAAATGTATGCCAAGACTTTTGGGGGACAATCTGGTATGGAGCTTGTCTGCTCTGGGTGGATGCCCCGTTCTGTACGTGTGAACTCCATGCTTGGGTAAGATGCCCCGTTCTGTGTGAACGCCATGCTTGGGTAGGACGCCTCGTTCTGTGTGAACGCTCCGCTCTTTGTGGACCCTCATTCTTCTGTCTGAACTCCAGACTCTGGTTGGATTCTCGTTCTGTGTGAATGCCCCGCACTGTGTGGATCCCCCCCCCCGTTCTGTGGAATGTCCAGGTATGTGTGGACCCTCATTCTCTATGATCAGCCTGAGATTGTGAACAAGCCCAACTCTTGGAGGACTTTGGTCCTGATTGAATGTTCACTGCCCTGGGGGCAACCTTTCTAGAAGGCCAGCAAAATGTATCACCTGGAGAGAGGTATCGGCTGGACCATTGTAATAGCTGATACCTGTTGAGTGACGTTTATGTAAGTTTAAGATTGGAAGTAATTGTAAATATATTCATGTATCATCTTTTAAATTGAATTAAATCATTATTATATTTTGTTATTGTAGTTGCCAACTTTAGGTATTGTTTTGTGGATTGACTTGTCCTTGTCTTGTGGCACCCATGTCTCTACTAATCGCTGTGACCTCACCCACGGGAAGCACAGACTCGTGATGTGATGGCCGTTTTCATTACATTTTGACATTTCCAAGACTATTGGCATGAGCTGTGAGACACTTATTGAAAATTGTTCTTGTGCTCAATAAACTATTAAATATGAAAGTGTGTTGATAAAATACGAACAGGTATGTAGTTTGTATACACAGAACGCTTATCCAATTCGGCGATCATTTGCCACATTTTTATATTACATGTAAAGCGTATGGTTTACTCTGGTTTACATGTTTAACGTTGTTTAGCCTTCTCCAAATGTTCAGTCATAACGATTTGTATAAGCATGTTGAAGAAAGCAGCAGGAATTTACAACTTATACAAGAATATAAATTTCGTTTTTACACACTTTTTCGCAACATCCAAATAAAAAGGGTAAGCTCTGTGGAAACATTCAGTTGTAGAAGTACCACAACACTAAATATTAAAAGTGGAATACATTTGACCGCCGGTTTTAAAGTGTGCTTTTGAGACGGGCTCAGGGGATTGGACGCGACTAAAGCCCGAGCCGCAGGCGAGGGGATTATCAGCGTTCATTTTCCGGTTCATGCACATATTTATTTACATTTATAAACACCGTTAGTCTTATCAACTAACGTTTAAGACCGGCTCTGCAAGGAGAGCAAACGGTGATAATGCGGGTCGGACATGAGTTTTGTCCATTCTCCTGAGCCAGTCTTAAATGCAAGTTTAAGTTTGGTCAAGAAATATTTAATCGCTTATGAAAATGCATAAAACGACTTCGTATGTACACACTTTCCACAGTCATTTAAGAATAGGTTAATACTAGGAATACTTTATGTTCTATGAATTGTTCTATGAAGACATTAATTTATTAATAATTGATTGTATAATGAAACAATTGCAAATATACAATGAAATCGTGTTTTAACATTAACTATATCTACTGATGACACTCTTTGTGTAATATTAAAGTTTGTAAACAGGCAAAAAGCTCATTCATTCATTCATTCATTCATAAAATGGACTTTACTTATGATCCGTAACTTATGTAATTTCACTCTTCACTTGCTGCCTAAATTTCGAAGTGGAATGTACTTATCAATCATAACTACACGATCCAACTCTCTTTTTTTGCTGCTTAATCTTTAAAATTTAGACTTTATATCTGCACACTTTCTGACGGCGTCTATGTACAGGGCAATTCGTTTGAAATTTTAAGTTCTATATACACTCCATAAAAGTATGAATTATCACAATCCATTCATAGTATAACTGTATTTTTACGTATTAAGAATTCCTGAAAGTGATAAATTAATTCTAATAGTAAATGACTATATGATGTAATTAATGCAATGAAAAACAGAACTTAATCATTATAGCTGTATGCGCACCCAACTCTGTCTCAACCTTGCAGCATCTGTTACGTGAGATCTACTTGTTTGGTATGCGAATATTCGGAAACAAGTATTTAAGGACAGCAATCAAATACGGGCATTGTGGTATCACACCATACACCAAATACATGCCCATAAGTATAACTTTGGGTTTGAAGCGACCAATGTTTTTCGGACGTATAGAGATAAATTGAAATATCTTGCCTTCTTATCCCAGTTTCTTTATCTCACCCTTGGTTTGATCAAGTTTAGCAATTTTTGAAACGAAAGGAATTTCAGAGAACCGTAGTCGTCGGTGGTTCTTGTATGTCTTTTGGCATGAATGCGATTCTCATAAGTGAGTCCTCGTACTTTAGGCATTTGTGATTCTGTTAGATCCACAACAATCCTTCCTTTAGGAGGTAAAGCTTTGAATATTATGGATTAATATAGGCCTAACATGGTGTAGGGAAACACATTTGAGAAATATATCGTTGGAAATCACAAACGAGTGTCATCCTCCGGGCAGGTATTGGCCCTACGGCAAACTGCGATATCACTACTTGTGCTTAACTTTGGTGCACCCTGCTGAGCAGCGTTTGAGGAATCTCGACTACCACTAGCCGAGCAACGTGCTGAAATCATGCTGAAGATTGTATACAGGTATGGATTAAGGGATGAGTTGATGGGCAGAATGAACACCACGGTCCAGGCGTACATATGCGGCTGAATGATGACGGCACCGGTCTGAGAGAGAAGACCCATGACGATAACAGGCATCCAACAACAGAAATCGGTCCCCACGATGACAGCCATCCGGAGCGCCACGCTCATTTCTTCTCTGTTCGACTGATGGAGAGTAGAG